CCGGAGCTGGTGACCAGGCTGCAGGCTGGGCAGTATCTGACGCTCACCAGGTGGGACAAAGAGGACACATTATGGTAGCTGGAGCTTGAATGAGGAAGGAGCAATTGGTGCGTGGGGTCTGTGCCCATTAGCCATGGCCTAACTTGGGCACTTGCTGGGCGAGCCCTCCACCCCGCTGTTTTGACAATGCTTGTATAAATTAGCTACTTTTCCCTATAGCACACTCAGCCCCAAATCCCTCTCTTCATTCAGGCTTGTGGGTCTCTGGATCTACATAATTCTGCCCATGACTTGGGCACTTGCTGGGCGAGCCCTCCACCCCGCTGTTTTGACAATGCTTGTATAAATTAGCTACTTTTCCCTATAGCACACTCAGCCCCAAATCCCTCTCTTCATTCAGGCTTGTGGGTCTCTGGATCTACATAATTCTGCCCATGGTGCTGTTGGCTGGGTCCCAACCAACTTGTGCCAATGTGCAATATTAACTTTTTGTACATCTGGTAATGTTTAGAATAATGCAACTCTCTCAGCAACTAGATTTCTCCCTCGTAACCAGCTGCTTGCTGTTTAGCCTTTTCAGAAAGAAAGGTATGTGGAATAAATGGGAGAGAGACGGGTCCCCCACACTGAATGACCCAAAATTATCTATAGGAGAATGGAAACAAACCAAATTGTTTGCACTCCAGTGGATGGATCAGTTTTCAGAAAGAATGTTCTCCCCAAGCTTTTGGGGTGTCTGCAATACCTATGAACATGTGGGATGAGGTCACTAGTTGGGTCCAAAGCAGATAGGTGTTCAGCAGTTACACAGTTACGTGTGCCAGGCAGTGAGGGCGGCAGTCGGTTCCCCAGGAGCCAGTGTGCTCCAGGAACCGGCTTTTATACTGGCTCCCATCCGCCACCCTGTTCTTGAAGAGCTGGCCCGGGCCGCTGCCTCTGGTACAGGGTGAAGCAGGAGCCGCATGTAACTGTTTGGGTAGTTGATTATCGGTTGAAATGGCTACACTTTTACATCCTTAGTCAAGTCAAACTCTTCTTCCTGAGGGAGTTGACCTGAGCTGGAGTGGCTGTTCTTGGGAAATACCAGCTCAGCTCTGGGTGCTTAACTAGAGGTGGTATGTGAGTGTTGTCATGGTTTCTAGGTATTAGAATTGCATCTCACCATGTCTGAAGGAGAAGCCAAGCAGGTTCCCAGTAGTGGCTCAGACACAAAGCCAGAATCCACATCTTCTGGCCCAGGAATGACCTCCGTGTCCCCACCAGTGACTTCTACAGCTCCACCAGCGCCCCAAGAAGAGGAAGAGGAGGAGAGTGAAGATGAGTCTGAAATCCTTGAAGAATCCCCCTGTGGCCGGTGGCAAAAAAGACGTGAAGAGGTCAGTTCCCAGCAAATGACAGTGGGGCAGGGAACTTGTAATGATCTCTGTTGAGGGAATCAGACCTGAAAAATAGGAGGTCTGATGAGGATCAGAGGTGTGTGAGCTGGTGAAATTTTGTGCTTTTCATTTGAGTATAGGCAGAGTTTGGTGCTGGTATAGAGTTATCTACCCTGGAAGAAGAATGGGGGCATGAGGAAGCGTGGCCTTGATATGAGGAACTGCTCTGTGGTCTACTATCTAGACATGAACTAATCTGAGTAGCTCAGGTCATCCTGTCCTGTGTAGGATGTAAAATTTTGATTGATTGGCTAATTGAATAGTGACTATTCAATTAGTTGATAAGGGTGCCTCCGCCTTTGAAGTGTACCTACAGCTCCGTGGCAGTTGCCACTTCCAGGGCGAAAGCGCTCCATGCAGCACTACTGCTTTAAAGTACTCCTTCCTCTGATAGAGGCGTCAAGGAGGGGGGAAGCAACTAGTTGATTAGTGTTGACTGTCTGATAAGCGTTTACTTATTGGATAGTTGATTAGTTGTTCACATTGCTAGTCTTGTGGGTGGCATGTCTACTTCAAAGTGAGATGGACAGATCGTTGCCCAGGTATCTCTAAATGATGACTTTGAGCATTTGTCTGTCATGAGTTTGTTTTATTAGTAAGTTGTCCAGTCACAGCTTGGCTTCCTTCCTGAGCTGAACTGTTCCCTACCTCTCCCTCAGTAGCTTTCTCCTGTTAGTTCCTTGTGTCCTCCTATCCCTCACCCCCTCATTTCCAGATGGTAGTTTGCTTTGCCCTTGTTGTGAGAGAGACACATACACAATGTACCCTAGTGGTGGAGTTATCTCTTACCTAACCCCCCAGTAAGCTAATGAGAAATTCACAAGCCCCATTTGAAGATGATTTTTCCTCAGTCTACGAACTATAGAGTCCACAGGCCTATCTGTGGCCATTGCTTGTTAAGTGTTTGTTTTTCTTTTTATCCAAGATGGGTTAGTGTTAGTACAATGTATGTCTGAATGGGCAACAGAAAAGTGAGGGATGGGAAATGTGGCAACATTCTCACTAGTCCCTTTGTTGTTGGATTTCTAGAGCAGTGGCCAATTTGCATTTTGCTATCTTTGCTTTGGTAGTTGAATCAACAGTCACTCATCCCTCTGTCAGCTGGTGGCTGGACTCCTGGGGTACGTCTACACAGCAGCATTATTTTGGAATAACTCGCATTATTCTGAAATAACAAAGAACATGTCTATACTTCAAGCCTTTGTTTCAGAGTAAAGGTGAGCTGGAAGACATACTCCGACTCCTGTATTCTTCGACTTTCTGCTGTGTAAGCTGTTTTGACTTAAGTTTTGCAATTGATGTATCTGAAGTTGTATAGCTTAATTTGACTTTAGCCCTGCTGTGTAGACATGCCCTTGTAGTTGTGGCTGTGCTTTGGGCTTGAATTGGTGCTTCAGATGGTGCAAAATACTGACTTTTAAACAGGGGTAGGCCATGTGAACTTGACTCATGTGCTGCTTGCTCTGCACCAAGTTCTTAGTGCATACTGTGGTTTTGTGGGCCTTCTGTAAAGCCCCCAGTGGGCTGTCACAGACTCCAGTTTCCTTCCATTCTCCACAATGACCCTTTCATTTCAGGCAGTCCTAGTTGTCTGTTCCCAGAGCTGACCTCCTGGACTTGTCTGTGAGGGGTCCTTGGGTCTAGGGTTGGCTTCCTTATCCAGACTGCTAAAATGAGGTTTAAGCAAGACACAACCCGTTGTCCCTTCTCAGAGCTTGGCCTTACTAGGGCCAAAGAGTGCAGTTACCTAGTACGTGGCATGAAGTATCTTCTCAGTGAAGTTGAGGCACTTCTTGTTTTCACACCTCAGAGGGTGAAGGTGAGTGTGAGGCTTGCTCACGGTGTTTATTTGGGCCTGCTAATACGTGTGAAATGACTTTGAGGGCATCTCCTTGGTGGGAGCACCAAGGAGGATATGTGCATGCAGTCCTAACTAGGGATGTTAGCGTATGGGCAAGTAAATGATTAACCAATAAGGCTGGATATATTGGTTAATCCTATCGACTACATGCACACACCCTGCTGCTGTGGGAGGGGAGGGGGAGAGAGAAGGTGGGAGCCAGCTATGAGCTCCATATCCCATGGAGCCCCTCCCCACCCCCAGCACTGCTGTCTCTGATAGAGAGGCAGCAGTGCAGGTGGGGAGGCAGGAGCCGGTATATGTGGGGAACGTGCGGTGCTTGAAGGGGGGGGAGGGTCTGGCTTAAAAGCTGGCTCCCCACAAGCACTGGCTTTGCAGAGCCACCTCTCCTCTCCCCCTCTGCGCTGCTGCCTCTGTATTAGAGGCAGTAGCGTGGAGGTGGGGGCAGGTGGGATGCTGGCCCTGGCTCGGCAGGCCTGGGCTCGCTGCAGACAGAGGCTGCTGTTGCCCTGTATCAGAGGCAGCAGCGTGCGCTGTCTCCTGGGAATCATCGAATAATCATGTAACCCCTAAGATCTTGTGTGGTTAGACAGTATCGAACATCCTCAGTCTTAATTTTGCCCACTCATCTGTGTGTGATGATAGTCTGCAGTTATGTAAACGCATGCTGTTTTCTTCATAGGACCCTGTCTTACTAAGTACCCAGGTTGGATGGTGTTTAAGGAACAAGGAGGCTGTTCAATATTTCTGTTTATCCTCTTACTTCACTATGTGGCTCCATGCCTTGCTGACTGAACACACACATCTCCACACATGGACTGGTCTCATATGCTTTCCATTGGCATATTGGAGTCTTGCAAAGGTTAAATAATATCTCTGCAGCATGCTTGTATGGTAGAGAGGGCTTTTGATGATATGGAAACTGAGAAACAGGCAGATGAAGGTCAAATCTTGCAAACCTCTCCCAACTGTGTGTTTTTTCAGAATGCTAGGTATTTCTGTGAAGTTAGAGGGGTAAATATTGCTCCATTTTATGATGGAAAACGTGAAACATAAGAGCAAAGGGACCTGCCCAAGTCCACAGTGAGCTGGTGGCTGAGCCAGGATTAGAACTTGGGGCTTCCTGTCTCCACATTACTCCAGATCAAACTGCCTTCCTGGTAGAGATGCTGAGCACCTGCACCTCCCTTTGATTTCAGCTAAAGTTGTGAGTGCGTTCAGCACTTCTGAAAGTCAGGCTCCCTGTGTATCAAGTGGCGCACCCAGAAATGAGAACACAGCTAGTGGCTATTTATGCAAATTTTGGCTTGAGATGCCCAGTCATCACACAGGTGGTGTATGGGTTCGACAGAGCAGAGTTTTTGTTGTTTGGTTGTCATTAGCCGTAGAATCAGCCTTACTTTTCCAGCAGAAAAGCCTTCCTTAAGGCTTGTCTACATTGAGAAATTAACTGGAATAGCAGTAGCAAAATAAATTATTCCCAAATAGCTCCTTGTGTGCACACTATTCTGGAAAAAGTCATTTTATTCCAGGAAAAATTGCTATGGAAGTGCAGCAATTATTCTGGAATTAATGTGACTGATTCTGAGATACTTTTCACAGAAGGAGCTATTGTAAAACTGTTTTGCCCGTTTCCCTGTGTAGATAAGCTCTACCACCACCTCCTAATTTTTGCAGCAATCAGGCAGTGATCCTGTTTAAAACACTCAAGTCCTCTCACAGCTGATTGATTCCCTGAGCATCTGTCCTGTGCCCTTGAAAGAGGCAGATGCCCATGGAACCAAAAAGTTCGTGACCCATATATCATGATGTATATGCACAGGGGACCAGAATTAGTTATACAGGCAACCTTCATTCTATTGCCTTTCGTTTGAATTGTTGTCTTTGGGACCTAACTAGCATTCTCTTAATGTATATTGGTGTAAGTAACAGCCTAGATTTCTTTTAACTCTTCCTTGCTTCCTACTGAGAGAGTACGTAGCAGTTGGAGAACACTGGATCTCTGGCAAGGTCCCAAGAGGTGGGTGAGTCTTCAGAGAGTTTGCTAAAAGAACGATAGCTCTTAGGTGTTTATCTTTTTTTACTGTATACTTCTTTGAGTACCAGTAGAACGTGTTCAGAAATGGTGGTTTTTTTGTACTGTGCTCTCTTAACTAGTCTTGCTACAGGACAGTCCTGCAAACTAAATAGTTTGTCACAACTGAGCAAAAAGTCTTAAAATGTTGCATGACTACCTCAGTATTTTTACTTCTGTGTTCCTCAGCTACTTTTCTTTCTTTCTTTCTTTAAAAATTTTTTGTTGAGAGAGAGAGAGAGTGCTGAGTGAATGGTGACATCCCACATTCACAGTTAGAGAGTTGGAAAAATTCTACATGCCAGAGAAAATTTAGACCTTATTTCCAGTCGGAGAGTAATTAACCATGGGAACTATTTACCTATGGTCATGGTGTATTCTCCTTCAGAGATAATTCTTAAATCAAGACTGGATGCTTTTCTAAAAGATCTGCTCTAGGAATTATGCTAGAGAACTTCCCCCAGATGTTCTGGCCTTAGAATCTAGGAATTAGTAACACACATTCATGGGTTGCTTGTTGATCCTAAGCATGTAATATGGTTACCTAGCAGCTTAGTATCGAATTACCCATTTGAAAGTTGCTTCAGATTCCCACCACCACAAGTTGTGTGCTTCTGGTGGTGGGCTTGGGGATGAAGTTTGGTGTTCTAGATGGGGATACCCGTGTCAGCAATGCACTCGGATATCTCCAAGATCTATCTTGCGTGGCAACAGCAGATTTAGACCACATCATTTTGTATGTATAGTTGAGATGTTTTCAGATGTGCATTACTTTGCCTTTATGAGCAGAGTTTCATTTGCTGTTTCCTGGTCCAGAGAAACAAGGTGGATAATGTTGTCCAGAAACTTGTCTGCATCCTAGTCTGAAGTGACCTATTCCTAGTCAATACAGGGATAGTTGAAATTAGGGATGTTAATGTGTAACTGGTTAACTGGTTACCCAGTAAGCATCACCCTTAATGGATGATGCTAACTGGGTAACAGTTAACCAGTACCCGGAGAACA